TAATTAAGCAAAAAATAGTATGAAAAACTTCAGATTAAACAAAAAAGAATCACACGACATATGGTGTTGACTAATTCATCGTCAAACGTCATTGTAGAACATTTAGAACGACTCTGGGTATGAGGTGATTCTGCAATTACAAGAGTTCAATTGGTTTATTTTGATCGACTCCGACTACGTGGTGATTCACCTATTAAAGAAACCAGATTCAGTACATTCGAATGAATGCGACTGCATGGTAATTGTCCAATTAAAGGCATTGAATTCAATTCCTCTTCAGTAGGAATTATATCCAATACCCTAAATGTACGATATTTCTATTTAATACAAAAAGTATATTATCAAAAATAAAATAAAAACTGATAAGTCAACATATTAACAAAACTACAGAAAAATGGAAAATTAAAGAACATTAACTTACACCATGATTAATAAAGTAATCCTCATGATGTTCTTTAAATTTAGGCTCTCCTAAAGATGTATAACGTAACATCTTGGGAACCTGAGGGGCATCACGGAAGTCGTCATCTTTTAAATACTTGTCCCAAATATCTGGGAAGCGCTAATAGAACCAAATACATAATGGATATGAAAATTCACCTACAATATACTCAGTTGAATTATTTTTGTCCTGGTTGTCCAAAGCATGTTTCATCGAGGTAATAAGTTTTTCATAAGACGCATTACCCCAAGGATAATTAAGACAAGCTTCATCGTCTTCAACAATAGCTGCATACTCCTCCAACACAGTTGATTCATTCTTTCTTCCGAACAAAATAGACTCCACAACAAGAATTTCCATAAGCTTCATATCATCTTCATCACTATCGCATGCGTGTTTGAAATTCACATCATCCTTTTTAATTTGATTCTGTATCATATACTCTCAAATGTCCTTCAAGGTCACACCCTTAGACTTCCCAAAATAGTGCTTCAGAATCTTACTCTCTCGTTTAATTAGTTTTTCAACATTATGTGTTGTTATCCTCACTGCACACAATGTGGAAGTCTTCAAGGCAGAACAACACATCACAACCAAAATTCATGAAACTAATGGAATCTCAATCATTGGTGAATATGCGAGAAAGAATCAAACAATGATTTGTATCATCATTTGAAATGTACCATTATTCAGCTTCTCATGTTGTGTAGGAGTCAAGAAAGTTGCAATTAAATGCTTCAAATCGTGGTTCCCCTTCTAGTAAGCACTACAGTTAAACCAATCTCGAAACTCATAATATCTCTCCCCTGATTTTGTAGGTACATCAATAAGGACTGAAGGAGCTTTACGTATTCTAAGTGCTTTAGGAACTTTAGGTGCTTTGGATTTCGTAGATGCCATATGTTGAAAAAATTAAAGGTAGGAAAAATAATTTCAGAACATTATCAAAAAAATCAATTAAAACTTCAGCACAATTTGGCTTAAGCTATATTTTAAAGTCATCTAACTTCACAGAAATACAGAACAAAACTTCAGCTCTAAGAACGCTGAAGTTAAGCAAATAAAGAACAAAACTTTAGCTCTAAGAATACTGAAGTTCAGCAAATACAAAACAAAATTTCAGCTCTAAGAATACTGAAGTTCAGCAAATACAAAACAAAATTTCAGCTCTAAGAATACTGAAGTTCAGCAATTATAAAACAAAAACTTCAGCTAAAACATGCTGTAGTTTTTACAAATACAAAACACAAATTCAACTCCAATAATACCGAAGTTCATCAAAAACAAAATAAAAACTGCAGACAAAAACATACTTTACTTATACAAAACACAAAACAAAACTTCAGCTCCTAGAATTAAGTTATCCTTGAAGTATTATAAACTTCACACTTTAATATCATCATTTATTTAAGTCTCAATTTTTTTAAAAATTTCAACGTCTGCAAAAATCAATGAAGAATATATAGAATTTTCATCAAAAATACAAACACAGTTTCAAAAAACCTAAAAACACTAATCGTAAAAGTAAAACCTACAAAACTAATGCACTAATCAAAGTAAACCCTAGGAAACTATTTTATCACAAATAAAAAAAGGAAAACGATTCAACTAAGATTACTATCAACAAAAAACTCATAAATTAAATCATAAAACTAATCCTAAATTAAAACCCCATATAAAGTTAATGCAATGTACAAAAGCAACCATTAAAATCGTACATGTGATTATACTTAATATTTTTGGGGAAGAAACATTTGCAAAATCAAGAAGAATGCAATGCCAAAAACCGTTTGATTTTAGAGAAGAACAAATCAAAACCGCGAAGGAGAGAAAGACAGAGACAAGAGATAATATGTTATGTACTTGGAGAGGAAGTAGTCTTTTACTAAAGAAGAGCAAAATCGTCTTTTTATAATGCTTTTAACAAAAAAAAGGGTACAGATGCAAACGGATAAACAAAGAGGAAAACCCTAAAACTCATTCGGAGAACCAAATCAAAATTCTCCGCTGGCATGAGAAAGACCTAAGGTGACTCGGGTGAACAGTAACCCCACTGCGGCGAAAGGGCCACCACGCCTCCGCCCGGCGGCGAAAAATCACAAAATTGGTCTCAAAAGAAGCTCCTAGTCTTTGCGCACAATCCCCGGTTGGTTTCATCACCAAATACATACCCAAATATTACAGATCTCTAAATTAATGTGGCATTCACTGTAGCGCAATAGTGCCAACGTTCTTCAGTCATTTCCCAGCTCAATTCTGTTTCAGTTTGCTTCCTTTTTAGCATAACGTCATCTCATTTTTGGCGACAAGAATGTTGAACTAGGTCATCCATGACTACGCTTCTCTCTCCCCGGTCTTTGGCTGTGGGAAATCCACCTCTAGTCGTTATAGAGAACATACAAAATACCTATGCTGCTCAATTGTCTCAAGCGAAAGCTAATGCTACTTTGAATCAAAAATGTTGAAACCTATTGAAGTAATTCATGGAATTCTAACAATTCAGTTTTCAACGGATGAACGGATGGAATTCGCAAAAGAGGAGGGACTGCATCAAGCTGTTGTGGTGAAGCTTTCTTCAAACGCACCAGATGTATCCACATTGAGAAACTTACTGCCGAAATTTTTCGGTACCAAAGGACAGGCTTTGATCGGCCAGCTTGCACCTAGACAATTGGTTATTAGGATTGATCAACATGAAGGTTTCGTTAACTCACCTACGAGGTCAGTTAACTACTTTAAATACAATGGTAAGGAGTACCAAATCAGGGTATTTCCATAGTCTATTGGTTTTAATGTAAAAGAGGAAATGACAAAGGCAGTGGTTTGGATTTCCTTGCCTAATCTGCCAACGGAGTTGTTTGCAATGAAGGCATTGTTGTCTATAGCTTCAGCTGTTGGCAAGCCTATAGCCATTGACAAAGTTACTTAGACTAAGTCACGTCCTAGTACTGCAAGGGGAAGGTTATCTCGGATTTAATGGATAAATTACCTAAAAAAATTGAAGCTACAATTTCTGGACAAACGAACAGGCAGAATAGTTGAAGTTTTTCAAAATTTTATATATGATAACTTGCCATTATATTGCAACCACTGTAAACACCAAGGTCATGATGAATATACATGTCGACGTTTGAATGAAAAGGTTGTGGAGAGCAGGACAGGTGAAGAAGATGATGTCGTGCAAAGTGAAAAAGAGATACTGGATAATGAAGGTAAGTTAGTTGAGAAGTTTCAAGGGGATTTGAGGAAACTGCTTAATGAAAAAAAGAGACTGCCATGTTTGATTGAGGCAACATGTATTGAGGGTATACACCAAATATCTGATGGTACACAAGTTCATAATAAATTTGGGAATCATTCAACTATTGGAGATGAGAGGAGGTTGAAGGATGTCACTGCTACATCTGGTGCACTAACATATGCTACTGCTGGGGCATTAGGTGCTAGTGGTGATGTGAGTTCAGCTGACTTGCATGGGAAATCAGCTGATGTTATTCAAATGTAGAAGGATCGAGCTACATCTGATCGATATGTTGATGAAGGAGATGTTAATAATCGAGTGCAGCTTTTGGTTTCTCAGAATGCCACAACTGATCGAGTTACTACTACAAATACTACTGGAGTTGGTCAAAGATCAGATGTTATTAAGGCCCAACATGTACCAATTATTTCTGGTGTTGCAACAGTTCAATTGACTGCTACACTAGCTAGAGTCTCTAAGGAGTTGAAGGTTGATTCAAATACTGTGTTTGGTAGTGATTTACATGGGGTTAGAAAGGGACCAGGTACAACATAAAAATATGATGAATATGGGCAGCAAACAGGTAATGAACAAGGGAAAACAAATGCCCTGCTGATAACTGATGGGAAGGAGAATAGAGCTGGGCAGGTACCTCATTCTTCAGGCAAAGTTGGTACAGATCCAGCAAAAAAAACTGAAATTTCTGAGGGGAAAAAGGAGACTGTTGTTCATATAGATGTTATGGAATGGGAGTATGCAGTTTCTACAGGTCCTAAGGAAGTGATTACTAAGGCTTTGCTTTCAAAGTTGGAGACTACTTTCTCACAGAAAACAACAGGTGCGCGTGCAACCACTGGGGTTGTGAATCCTAGTGTAAATTTGAGTGTTGAGGCATCGAGGTATGCAGCTTCAACATGCACTATGTTGGGGACTGCAGAGACTAAACAACTTCAAGGTTCAGTTGGAATTGTGCAGGCAACAAATGGGGAATTTAAACATATTATTTCTAAGAAATAAAGTGTGAATCAACGTACTCCTACGCAAGCTCATTCATTGGGTACAAGTGCAGGGCAGGTTCTTGTTAATACAGTGCATTCAACTAATGCTCCAAGCAAATCAGATACAAAGGGTAACAACTGCACATGGGTGACTAGATCACCTAACAAGAAGCAATCTCCAGTCATTCGAAATAAGATTGTACCGTCAACATCAATTGAGATTTCGAATTTTTTCGACACTTTAACAAATGATGACGAGCATGCTATAAATGGGTCAGACAATAAGGAGCAATAGATTGATGATGAGATAAAACAAATCATGGATACAGAAGGCACTACAGCGAGTGAAAATAAGCAGAAAATTGCAAAGGGCATAGGTTCACAACTTAAGATTACATCTGTTAACGATCGCACTTGTGAGGCAAGTCAAGAACATGCTGCAGTTACTCCTACAATGCAAATTTCCAATCAGGAGCCGGCTAAAAATGGTAATGGATTCACATTCAGCTATGATAATGAACAAAATTACAAAGATTAATGCACCTTTGATCACGCTGAATACTTCAGTCTTTGAGATACTATCCCAATCGATGGAGTTTTTTGGTGAACATGCTGATGATTCTGGACTGCAGCTAATCTCAATGGGCAACAACCAACAGTCAAATGCAGGTATGATCTCACTCTCTCAAGCATCAACAAATGATATAACAGGTTATAAGGAGCAATAAGGAGAGACGAGTGCACTGACAGCTAATAAAAAGAAATGGGCTGACCAAGTTGAGGAGGAGGAACATGATTCTGCAGAAATGTATCTAGGTACTAACAAATATGCAGCAACACTGTTACCCGCCACCCCACGATCAAATGAAGCATCAGAAAAGGTACAAAAAGAGCAGGTTTCTAACTCAACATCAACTGCTTCAAAGAGGAGAGGTTTGAGTCCAAACGTTGTTGTATTTGTACATTCGGGACACCAACAAAAGACAAATAATTCAGCAGATTCAAAGGAGATCCAAATTTCATCCTCGAACATGGCAGTAGCTACTGGAATTAGCACTTCAATAACTGCAACATATAATTTGACACCAACAAATATCATCCACGCTCTTGTTTCACATGACATGGAAACATTGAGAGGTCTTGATAATCAGAGGAAAGATCAAATAGCACTATCGAATAAGTACAGGCATATTGATGATTTTGGGATGCATATGGGTCAAGATTTTTATGAAGAAGGAGAAGGGGGTGCACTACTGGATGCCACCTTCAACATTATAGCTAGGGAGGGAGATCTTTCACCAAGACATGTGCGAAGCGGATCCAACAAATACAAGAAGAAGGCACCAGACATACAACATAGTTGGGACAGCAAAGCAACACAAGAGGTTGTCATTAGGAAACCTCCAATGAGAAATGCAAAGCAAAAGGGAGTTGTACCTACGACCTCTACAAGGTCAAAAGGTCAAAGAGAAATTGATAACGTTTGAAGAATTTTTGAAGACGGTGGAAGAGGAAGCCAATGATCTACAAATTGAAGAGTACACAAGGTTGAAGAAAGAGGGGCAAGACTCAATTTTTTTACATTATTTTACTTTATCACTTTTTACGTATCATCAATTGTAATATCATCACAGAGTATGTTATAAACTCTGTGATGATCATAGAGTACCTAGTTCTTTCTAGTTCGTTTTTTCTTCATGCTTATTAGTAGATGATGTTTATTATGCCTCAATAGGATTTGTAAGGTAAGGTCTAGCACATTATGTGTGAGCTATATTGTTATGCCTTTGGGAAAATCCAAGCGGCTGCGAGGTTATATGCCCTCGTGAGACTTTTGCCGGCAGCTACGCCATGATCCTCTACATGAGGCTGCCATCTTAAGGCAATAGAGGCGCAGAGGAGTGATTATATAGCCAAGGCATAGAGGCAACACTACTATAGCTTTTGCTCCCTTACTTGTACTGTTCCGTTGTGGTTTTTCTTTTCTTTTATTATTAATAAAATAGCTACTAGGCAACCCGCCTAGTGGTATATTTGCCAAAAAAAAAAAAACNCTTACTTGTACTGTTCCGTTGTGGTTTTTCTTTTCTTTTATTATTAATAAAATAGCTACTAGGCAACCCGCCTAGTGGTATATTTGCAAAAAAAAAAAAACGGATACAAGTTAAAAAGGGGCGACCAAATAGGACGCCCCATGCAATTTTTACGAATCTGCTCTAAAGTATTTTTCATATTACTAGCCAAACATAAATTACTTCTTACCATAAATACTTTTTTTAAAGGTATTCTTGAGAAAAGTGCACTTTTCAAAATAAGTTGATTTTAGAAAGCTTGGTCAAACATAATATAAGAGGAGAAAATGCACAAAATCTCCATCAAAGTAGATTGCCTTTGCCTATTACGACTTTAACTATTTCTGTTACTCCGTAAACTACTTTGAAGTGGTTTGAATTTTAAACTTCTAAAATTTGATTTTAGAAGTTCAAATTTAAAGTTAAGCTCTGCCATAGTCTAAATTTGAACCGCATTCAAACTTCAGACTAGAAGTAGTCGGTTTTGAAGTATGAAACTTTAGACCCGCGATTGAAGCTTCAGACACGATAATTTGGATTTTGGTTATGAATTGGCTAGACTTTAAGAATTTTGTAAATATGGCGGCTATTCATTAAATATGGGTCCTAAAAACGGCTATTTGTGCACATCACCCGATTTTAGTTCAGAGAAAGAAGTCCACGGCCCAAACAAAGCCCACTGAGTCTACTCTCGCTTTCGAGTTTCGACTCAAAGCAAAGCCCTAGCAATTTCGCTCAGTTGTTCAATTTTTGCTCGTTCACATACGAAGAACAGCTAATCAAAATGGCGTACAGCGACCAAACGGTGTTGCAATTTTCAGTGAGCTTATCAGCTAAGGTTCAACCTTCGGTCATTTTCAACATTTGCGATTGCTACGTAAGACGACCTGACCAAGCCGAGCGTGTTATTGGCACTCTTCTCGGCTCTGTATTGCCTGACGGCACTGTTGACATTCGCAATTCTTATGCCGTTCCTCACAGTGAATCTCAAGATCAGGTTTTGCTTCTCATACTTACTGATTCTGTTAAATTTAGTCCCTTTTTAATTGTTTTTTTGCCAAATTTAGTCCGTTTTAGATAAATTTTGCTGAAAAGAGTCCCGGAAAAGCTGTATTATTTAGAGTATACTTATCTCTCTGTTGGATGCTCTTTTGTTGCAATGACACGAACCAAATGAGCAAATTTCAGTAAATTTATAGTAAATTTACGAGCCAAACGATCATTTAATTCTAAAAGAGGATAGTGGAGGTAAATGCCTGAGTTTAACCATATATTTTTAAATTTTGGAGAGAGTGGTTGATTTTTATTGCAAGATAGTGTAAAGAACGAAGGACGTGTCTGGTGGGAGGTGGCAGGTATCCCATGGAATTAGTCGAGGTGCACACAAGCTGGCTTGCGCACCTCGGACACCACGGTTTTCCAAAAAAAAAGAAAGAAAGAACGAAGGACGTGTCAGGGAAAGAGCCAAAAAACAAAAAAAGAAAGAAAGAACAAAAGACATGTCAAGGAAAGAGCCTATAAGAACTAGACAGACAGATTACTTTTATGTAGAAAATTATTTGGTGTTCTATATAATCCTAGAGCTGATACATTTTTACAAAAAATGTTTTCAATAAGTTTTGTTGTGCCAAATTGTTTTTTCTTTCTCTTAATGGTATTCTTAGTTCCATGGTTCTAAGAAGATATCCCCATTTGTTATGTATATCTTGTCATAATTGTGTTTTTATTTTATTACTTTTACTGAACTTTTGGCTATACACTCTTTTTAAAGGTTGCACTGGATATTGATTACCATCATAACATGTTGTCATCTCATCAGAAGGTGAATCCAAAGGAAGTGATTGTTGGATGGTAATTCTCCATATGCTTATGCCTTTCTATGTTATGACAGTTAATGCATTTTACTGTATAGAGCGCTTGAGAGTTGTTAAACAGATGGATGACATTGTAAGAGATTGCAAAGTATGAAATAAAGAGATCATTTGATTTAATCGACAGCATTCTTTGTATCAAATGTTTCATTAATAGTATAAACTGATATGAGCCCTTATAGCTTAGTAGTACCATCTACTAATATTTTGCATGTACAAAACATGAACTAGTGGCTGCATTTGTCAAGATACAATACTTTGTACCTCCTTTTATATATTATAAAACGTGGAGCATCTTTTCAACTTTTCCAGGTTCTTTTTCCTTGAACATCCCACTACATCCACCCTATATTTTGGTTGGTTACTTATGGACCTCCAATTTTGAGTAATACTCAACATTCAAATCCATGGGGTACTAGATTACGCAATTGTGAATACTTGCGCTTGAACTTTCCAGGTTTTCTACTGGTTTTGGAGTCTCCGGTGGTAGTGCTTTGATCCAAGAGTTTTATTCTAGAGAAACTTCAAATCCTATACATTTGACTGTTGATACTGGATTTCAAAATGGGGAAGCTTCTATAAAAGGCTTTGTCTCTGTGCATTTATCTCTGGGAGATCAGCCACTTGCTGCGCAATTTCAGGAAATTCCATTGGACATACACATGGTTGAAGCTGAAAGGATTGGATGTATGTATCTACCTACCTTCCGTACTAAATAGGATAGGCCCTATTTTACTGCACATTGACTTAGCTATGTCCATGTGCATTGGTCAGCTTAGGATGGAAGAGGGGTTGGGTGATATGTAATTGAGAACTGTTGGTGGTAATTTCTCATAACAATAATAGTTGGTCAGGTATTTTTCGCATAAACAAGTAGCTAATTATCTTAAGGATATGGTGCAAAAAGTAGCCATATGTTGAGCAATAGTTGAAACAACCTCCCTACCTTCACTAGGTAGGGGTAAGGTTTGCGTACACACTACCCTCCCCAAACCCCACCTATGGGAATTTACTGGGTTTTTTGTTGTTGTTGTTGGTTAGAGCAATAGTTTTTATTTCCTATTCGTGATGACTATTCTTACTAGGACATTCTTGTGCCCATTGATGCAGTTGATAAGCTCAAGAAAACAATCGTAGACAAACTTCCCAATGATCTTGAAGGAATGGAAGCATCAATGCAGCGATTACTTGCTCTTATTGTTGATGTCTACAAATATGTTGATGATGTTGTGGTAACATGAACTTTTCTATAACTGAATTTTGCAAGTTTCTGTGTTTTTCATCTTTAAGTTCTCATATTGGTCTGCCTTTGTAGGAAGGACGTCTACCCCAAGATAACAGAACCGGAAGATTCATAGCTGATACCGTGGCTGCTATTCCTAAACTCTCACCCCAAGCCTTTGATAAGCTTGTGAATGATGGTCTTCAGGTACTTTTTCCACTTTCTATTTATATGCTGTTGCTTCCCTCCCCCTTTTCCCAAACCAGAAATTAGGAAAAAAAGAAGGAAAAGTTGAAAATTGTTGAGGAGACTCTCTTTACTACTGGATCCTGGTTAGTGATTGTGGTTCAGATGTCTGCTCAAATCCTGTTTGGTGGTGATTTATAGTTTATTTTGCATTTGTAAAACTGTCGGGTGGCCCCCTATATTGTCGCTTTCTCACTATTATTATTATTTTGGTGATTTTCATAGAATGCATACCCTATTCTAATAATTTTTCTTATCCGTTCTAAAATATGTCTGTTGCCTTGTAATCATGATATTGATGAAGCTTAATATTCGGTCTGGGTTGTCTTACCCTGATTTAATCTTTATCTGTAGGACCAATTGCTTTTGCTGTATTTGGCAAGCCTCACGAGGACTCAACTCAGCTTTGCAGAAAAGTTAAACACTGCTGCTCAGATCCTGTGATTGATGATCATTTCGGGCTCTTGTAATTGATGATCATTTCGGGCTCTTAATCTGACTTTTCACTGCGCGATTAATCCTCGTGATAGATTTGGCCGGG